CATCTCACTCTGTTATAAGCATCCTCAAGATCCAGTCCTACCGCCATAGTTTCCTGTCTGTTTTGGAACCCTTCATAGACGTCAAAAGCAAAAGTGGCCGCATTTGCCCAAGTTTCCTTTCCTGGCCTGTAACTTCCCAGACCTCTTGGGAGAAGCTTCCCTCTTTCTAAACATTCTTGTAACTTTACAGCAACTATCTTCTCCAAGACCTTTCCAAATGTGTTTTGTAAGGTGAGGATTTTAAAGCCACTAAGTTTTGAATGATCTTTAAAAGGTTTTGGTAGTGGGATTAGATAGCTGTGCACCCAGTCTTGCGGTACTGATGCTGTCTTAATACTCTGGTTAAAACAGTCGGCCATCTCTGCCAGGTCTACATTGCTCAAAGCCTTCAGGTGACCATACCTGACACCATCAGGCCCTGGTGCAGTGTCTTTTTGCTTTTTTTCAAAATGTGTTTGATATCTTCCACTAGTATCATGTCTTCATAATGCATATTCTTTAAGGTGCCAGCTAACTCCTTTCTAACTGCATCCCTGATGTCTACATCATTATGATCTGTCTGAGCTATAAACCTATGGAGAAAAGCCCCCCATTTTCTCCTTGTCTGTTGTCACACGCACACCATCGTCTGTACAAATTGTTTCGACTGTCATAGGCCGATCTTTTCTTTGCATCTGCAGTTTCCAGAATTTCCCTAATGTTTTATCGCCTCCTATATCATTCACAAAAGTTTCCCACTTTGCTCTTTTTGGCCTCTGCAGCACAGCGCTTGAAAACCTTCACCTTATCTTTTTTCACATTCTCCGCCATCTCTACTTCCTCTCGTGAGCTTGAGGGTGTCTGTCGTACTTTCTTTAGCTGCTTCACTGCGGCTCTCTTTGCCTTCCACGCCTGTTCTACTTCTGGAGTCCACCATGGGGGCTGTAGAAAATTAGTTCTGGCAGTTCTTTTGCATGCTCCCCGTCTGAGGCGTCCAAGTAGGCTGTTGGTCCACTTATACTGGAAGGTCTTGCGTACATTCCCAACCTTAACCTTACTGAGTTTAGAAATCAAGACTGAACATGGTAGGTGATCACTCCCATGGTCATTTAGGACAGTCCATGTAACATCTAACACGACGACTGAGAGACAAATGTCAAGTCAATGGCTGTGTCTGCATCTCCAGACCTTATTGCCATTCTAATCGGCCTCCCATCGTTGATGCAGACCATATCGGAGTCAACCATGGCCTCTGCAAGAGCAATTCTCTGTCGGTTTTCTCCACTACTGTCCCATTCTCTGTTCTTCGCGTTGAAATCCCCACATATGAGTAACCTATCACCTGGTAACTCCTCCAATTCCTTAAGCCAGCTCCATTGTTCACTTCTGACAAAACAGTCTACCGTGGCATATATATTTATGAGGTTCCAACTTAAGCCACAAATTTCCACCTGTATCCCTTGAACCTCTCGTCCACTGTGGTTCCACTGGCTCGTCAAGCACCACTTGCTTCACTCCATCCTTCACCGACAGACCTTGTCTATGTCTCTCCTGTCCAACAGGGTTTATAAAACTGACGTATCCCGGGCAATGATATCTGTCTGTATTTAGCTTTTCGCCTTGTTTTCCTAGCACCCGCCCTCCTATTTCTATGCCTTCTTCTCTCCCCATTTCCTCGTCGTCTCCTCCTCACTCCCTCTTCACTAACCGCTGAATAATGTGTCAAGCGCAAAGCACGTGCCCTGTAGCTCCGGCGACGATTCTTATGTATATTTTTAAACTCCATACGAAAAAAAAGAAAACTGCAGGAAATGACCGGTCGCCCTAGTATTGCCTGCCTGCTAGGGAAGGGGCAATGGATGTCCTGCAGGAGTCCATACGGTTTAAATTCGGAGTTTGCCGTCTCCTAGATGGATTGCTGTGCAAAGCTAACGGGTTTCATCTACCCGGACTTCTCCCAGAAAGAAGGCAACATTTTGCTAAATCCCATGGACGTTAGGAAACTTTGTGCAGTCTTAAACATCTGCTGCACTGCCATACCGGAAGTCCAGTAAATCGTTTATCATGGACGTTAGGAAACTTAGTGCAGTCTTAAACATCTGCTGCACTGTAAAGCCCTTGCTGACAAGACTCTCCCTGAAGTTAAATACACTAGTTGATTTTTTTAAAAGGTTCCACCTTTTAATAGACACTACCCCCCTCCTCCCCCCCTCCCCCCCCCCCCCCCCCCCCCCCCCCCCCCCCCCCCCCCCCCCCCCCCCCCCCCCCCCCCCCAGAGATCACTGATGACGCCGCACGGATAGCTACGAACTCCAGCTTGCCTGTTGTTTCTACCACAGCCAGTGTAACCAATGAGGCAACAAGTAAGAAACCTGATATCCTCGAGTATCCAGCGATGGAAAACATTGCCGTCGTGTGTTTGAACTGGTAAGTGATTTAATTTAAGTGATGAAAACCGATTGAATACGCACAATTTTTGCCTTGAAATAATCATGGTTGCTAGCGCCGCCATACCGGAAGTCCAGAAGTCAGACAGACAGACAGGCACATTGACAGATTCATAGACGGGGGACACTCACTGGCCTACAGTTATAAAGAGGCAGGCATATGCATACAGATAAACAGAAGCAAAGAGGCAGGCAGGCACATACACAGACAGACAGGCATATTCATAGATAAATACAGAGACACAGACTGAATTACAACTTGCCTGAACACTGGGCCAGTTTCCTGGTGTTGGTAACACTGAGAATGCCTCTCTTCACCAACATGTCGAACACACAGGCTCCAGCAAGCATGAACACAACCATGAATATCTGAGGCACCCCGGAGAGAAGTCCATTCTGAAAGTAAATGCCAATATGTGCTAATACTCCACGGTAAAATGAATGTTTATGAACTGTACCCCTTTACCGTTAAATACCTGCGCTATAAGTTAATGCGAACGCTTCGTAATGCAGGGGTAACGGGTTCGATCCCAGCTGCGGACCACACGTTTTGCGTTGGTTTCGACAGTGGTATCAGGGAGCCGACCGTCCAGTAGCAATGGCAAACTACTAGACGTAAATTTGCCTAGTGAAACCCTACAACAGCCAGGGGCTGATGGGGTTGGTTCTGCAACCTGCGCTATAGACAGTGTCGTGGCAAGATCATGTGGTACCCATTATAGGAAAATGTGCTGTCACTACAGAAACAAAGACATGTGAATGTGTGTGTGCCAGCAGTGGCGCCGACACGCAACAATCATCGGGAGGGGAGTATTATTATTATTATTATTATTATTATTATTATTATTATTATTATTATAAATATTATTATTATTATTATTTTTATTATTATTAATAATAATAAATATTATTATTATTGGCGAAATAGAAAATAATTTTAGCATGTTTAAAATAATCAAAATAATCATCTACTCAAAAACAGAACCTCTATAGATGGTTGACAATGGAAAATGGGGAGGGTGACTTAACCCTATTTCAAAGTTTATTGTAGCAGGAGGCCATGGAGTCTACGTCCTCCTTCATTAAAATTATAGGCGGGGGTGGGGATGGGATGGAGGGGAGGGGGTGGAGACGAACTCAGTTTACCTGAGCCTCCAGTTTCCGATGTCCCATTGTGTGTGGTGTGTGCGTGTGTGTGCGCGCGCGCTGTAAACTCTCTAAGAAACCGAACGTTATTAAGTCATCAATAGCTCTAGTATATAGCTCATAAAACAGTAATGGAATCAGTTCATTACACTGAAGTTTCCCATTAAAGCAACGTAGCTGTTCAGAATGAATCCTTGCATTTTCTCTGAGCCCACCACCTCTCACAAGCTTTGCTTTCAGCATGCCAACCTACCATAGATGCTGGAAGATCATAGACGTCCTTGTAGTACTGCTGGACTTCTGTGATGAGCAAGGCAAAGATGAAATTACGACAGAAGGCAGCCACCCAGATGGCAATCACAGGCATGGATGTGAAGAACTTGCACCACGGGACTGGCTGGTTCTGTTGAGGTAACATTTAACATTACTTCCTCTCATAAAAATACAAACGGAAACACGTATTCAAAACCTACGTACTTGATCAGTTAACTAATCATAGGAGGTTGACTAGATAACAGGACCCCATTCAAATCAAAAGACATGCCAACCACTGTTTGTCAGTTAGTAAGAGGATCGACCCGTGGGCTTCACTCACTTTTCAGTGACTTCTAAATCTGCGTTATCACCCATGCAGTGTGTGTTGCCTTTCTGGGGACCACCAACTCTGATATCTTCCTCCAGTTCGTGCCCCTTTAAGTATATGGCAAGATCCCTACGCACCCCTTGGGTATATGGCAAGATCGATCCCCACGCTCCTCTTCTGTATATGGCAAGATCCCCAAGCCCCCCCCCCCCTTCCTCCCCCACCTGAGTGTGTGACAAGACACACCCCCCCCCCCCCCCCCCCCCCCAACCATACCCAACCAACCAACATAACAAAATGTGATTAAAGAGATGAGGTAAATAGATTCCACAATGAGGGAATTAGAAAGTATGGACATAGATTTTTTTTTATTTTTTTTTTTCAGAATGTATTTTTAATCAAAAATTCAATGCACGTTTGCTCGTATTATTAGACTTTTAACTGGGGATGTAAAAACTGCTCACTGAACACCCCCCCCCCCCCCCCCCGAGAAAAGGCCGGGGTAAAAGCGACAATCTGCTAATCCCGTCTTACCAAATAAAGATGAACTTACCGAATTTGCTTTTGTAGTAGTAGAAACACCACTCCGCTTTAGCAGACTCTCCTCTTCTTCGAGAATTCTAGGATGTGTGGCGGGACTTGACGCAATAACCATGATCCACATAATACACCAGGCAGCTCCGATTGATCCTGTAGATGTCGGCTGGCATTAGCTTTTGTCTAACTTTATAGTTATGAAATAGATACTTCTATGTGTGTGTGTGTGTGTGTGTGTGTGTGTGTGTGTGTACATAAATAGGCTAGTGAACACAACGTGGCTATAATTTATATATATATATATATAT